CAGAGGGTGCCCGGAGAAGCTGTGGCTGCCCCATCCCTGGCAGTGTTCAAGGCCAGGTTGGACACAGGGGCTTGGAGCAACCTGCTCTAGTGGAAGGTGTCCCTGCCCGGGGCAGGGGTTGGAGCTGGAGGAGCTTTAAGGTCCCTCCAACCCCAAGCACGCTGTGACTGTCAGACCGGTGGCAGCGCAGAGGTCACTGCTCCATCTGCAGGGCGGTCTCTGGCACTGCAGGGTCATGATCCAGCCCGGATGGAACCGGTGCGTGGTGCTGGCTGCTCGGGTGGCCGAGCAGAGCCCTCCCACAGTCACAGACACTGATCCCCTCATCCCCCCTTCTCCAGGTGATGAATGAAGATGGTCAAACCAGCTCCATCAAGGACAAGATCCTGACGATCGACGTGCAGCCGGGGTGGAGGCAGGGCACCAGGATCACCTTTGAGAAGGAGGGTGACCAGGTAATGACTGTGGTGTGACGTTCTGCTCCAGGTTTCCTTGTGTGTTCTCTGCAGGTTTCCTCTTGCCATGGGCAGTTGGCAGCAATTCGGTGTCACTGTGCTCCACAGCACTCCAAGGAACTCTCCATGCCTGGATTATCCTTAGGATAGATAAAACATCACTGAAAGGGGTGGTTTTCTACCTGACATCAGCTTTCGAAAGCCCAGTCTGCTTTCCCTTGCAGAGTCTTGGATAAAAGACTCCTTTTTTTTCTTCCCCCTTCCCACAATTTTAGGGCCCAAACATCATTCCAGCTGACATCACCTTTATTGTCCAAGAGAAAATCCACCCAAGGTTTAAAAGAATCAATGACAACCTCATTTTCGTTACCACCATCCCCCTGGGAAAGGTAAAGAGCTGAGCAAGGGTTGGGAACCAGCTGATGTTGGCTCTGTGGGGCTGCAGCTGCAGGTCCTGCTCCGTGCCCTGCAGGCACTGGTTGGCTGCACGGTGGATGTGAGGACACTGGATGGGAGGCTGCTGAACATCCCCATCAACGACATCGTGGAGTAAGTGCCAAGGGGGAAAAGGCTGCTGGGCTCAGGAGCCTTCCTGCGGAGTTTGGTGGCCAAGGAGGTGAATGGGCCCTTGGGAGGAGTCTCAGCATTGGTGTGTTCCTGTTGCCCGAATTGGGGTGTTTCAGCAGCTTTCCAGGAGGTTCTGGGGGTTCCTGCCTGGAGGAGGATCCCTGCAGTGGGCTAATGCCATGGTGTGGGGCTGTGCTGCTGGTAATGGGGAATCACAAATCATAGGAACATAGAATCATGGAATGGGTTGGGTTGGAAAGGAGCTGAAAGCTCCTCCAGCTCCAACCCCTGCCCCGGGCAGGGACACCTTCCACTAGAGCAGGTTGCTCCAAGCCCCTGTGTCCAACCTGGCCTTGAACACTGCCAGGGATGGGGCAGCCACAGCTTCTCTGGGCACCCTGTGCCAGCGCCTCAGCACCCTCACAGGGAAGAGCTTCTGCCTCAGAGCTCATCTCAGTCTCCCCTTGGGCAGGTTCAAGCCATTATTTGTAGGGTTTGGGGTGAGAGCCACGAGTGAGATGAGGTTTGGGTGCTCTGGCTGCGGGCAGGGAACCTGCAGCCATGAGGCTGAAGAGGAGGGCAGGCAGTTCCTGCGGGGAAGTGATAGAAGGGGCCATGGGGCTCCACATGGACACATCGGGGCTTGGAGCCCGTGTTGGGACCATCCTGCAGCTCCTCTCAGCCCCTCCCTTTGCTCTGCAGCCCCAAGTACTGCAAAGTGGTGCCAGGGGAGGGGATGCCCCTGCTTGGGGACACCCAGCGCAAGGGCGACCTCCTCATCTACTTCAACATCTGCTTTCCCAAGAAGCTCACACCTGACAAGAAAATGCTCTTAAGAAGCGCCCTCCTGTCCTAGGGGACAATGACCTTCTCCTTCTCCTCCCACCAATAAAGCTCTGGAGCCCATAATGGGACCGAGTAGAGGTTGTTCCATGTCCTGGGCACCCTAAAACACAAGAGTCATCCTAAAACAATGGCCGTGAGGCTGTTCCTGCTGCCTTCACTCAGCTTTGCTTTATGGACTCTGCCCCCTTGGCTGCCACCCTGCAGCCATGCAGGGGTGATGGAGGATTTTGGGGGGGTTGGAGTCATCTCGTGGTTTGGGGGTGACTGCAGAGGGCAGTGCAGGAAAGGCCAAAACCAGGGAGGAGAAGACTGCAGGATTTGCTCAAGGCCTCACTGTGCTCACTACAGCTTTCTCCTTGCTGGGCAAGTGTGATCCCCTTCCGTGTGGCAGTGACAGCGCTGGGCTCAGGGACCTCTGCCAGTCACTACCAGGTCCTGTTCCAGCTGCTTGTGATGTTCCAGTTGAGGAGCCATAGGATTGGGGGCAGAAACTTCCTGGGGCGGTCGGGATCAGCACATCCTGTGAGCGCTGCCCTGGAGCCGCGTCCCTGGACCTTGTCTATGAATCGTATCATAGAATCCCAGATTGGTTGGGGTTGGAAAGGAACTTAAGGTCATCCAGTTCCAACCCCTGCCACGGGCAGGGACACCTTCCACTGGAGCAGGTTGCTCTGAACTCATTCCTATTCCTACATCCCTTGTCCAAAGCCCCTCTCCAGGTCTCCTGGAGCCCCTTTAGGCTCTGGAGCTGCTCTAAGGTCTCCCCAGAGCCCAGCAGAGGGGCCGG